TATGCTTTATGGGATCCACCCTTTCCAGTGGTCCTACATCGCTTTTAAAAACAAGGTTAGATGTAAAAAAAAATCTAAATCATTAATATCACTTCAATTTAACACATTTCTAAAGTTTTGACCAAAAAGGTATTTGGCCACTTGTGGGGACCGTTTCTAGCATTGCATACTTGTGAGGTCCATTCACATACACACGTACATATCAAGTTTTTATATGTTAATGGGGCCCAAGGTCACTATCTGCAGCTACTGATACCAGTCTTTATTATTACTCCCAGTTTCCTCATGTTGGACTAAAATAGTTTTTTGTAATAAGTGATTATGTATATGTGTGAACATTTCTATCTGCGATGACAGATTACAAGACATTCAGCTTCAAAGACAGTTTAATAACAAAATTCAAATGACCAATTTAATTACATTTTATGCCATATGCTTGTGATTTTTTTAATTATTAAATCATTAATCTAATCTCCACTGAATGTTTTAACAATATCAGTTTGAAGTTCTATGCAAACCCAACATTTTTTGTTACATTGGCATTGAAATTATGCGTTTCATTGGACTGCATTCAAAATGCCTTGTTATTACAGGTGTAAAAAATATACAAAAAAAACCTGTGAAATGTTTTTATTTGTACACAACTGAACAGCCATAAAACCTGAGCAAACCCTTACAAAAACAACAAAAAGTAACAACAAACACAACAAAGGACAAAACATTTTGACATCCAATGTTTTGCTTTTACCTCCGTTCAATTAGGTGCTTTCATACAACTTTTCTTCTCAGGGCTGTAATGCGATTTTTAACATAATATTTAACAGCTTTCCAGTCTCTGTTTCTGAGAGCTTCAGGTGCAGCAGTAATACAGCGCTGACACTCTTCTTTACCAGGAACTTGACTCCTCACGATAAATCTCCTCAAATGTTTGTCCACTGCAACACACTCTTCTGGGGTCCAGCTTCTCTTGACAGCTGTTTGTTTTTCTGTGTGGACAAAAACAAAACAATGTAGGTTTTCTTTTATAAAGAAGTTTTAATCTTAATTAACACTGTAAGACCCACTGTTTTAGAATTACAACAATTTTGGTTATTGTCCAAAATTATTCCACAAATTCAGTCTCATAAATCCCCAAGGCCCTCTGATGGTGGTCAGCACAAAACTTACTGCATGTAAACAAATCAGGTAACAGAATTCCATTTGTACCATTTCCATGTACTTGAAGAGAGGTCCAGAGTCTGGGGGCTACAGCAGCAGGTGATCTGTCACCTTTGGTCTTTTGCCTTGAGCTGGACTAACAGTAGGCTTTGGTCACTGGACCTCAGGGACCTGCTGGGGTGTAGGGTCTGAGAAGAGCACCAAAGTATGGTGGTGCTTGTCCATGTAAGGCCCTATAGACCAGAACCAGGATCTTGAAATGAACCCTGAAGTTGACTGGCAGCCACTGAAATTGGAGAAGCGGGGTGATGTGGGTGTGTTTGGAGGTCCTGGTTAGAAGCTGAGCTGACAGGCATTCTGAACCACCTGTAGACGGTTCAGGGAGGTTCTGCTCAGACACGTGAAAAGAGTTGCAGTAGTCCAAGCGTGAGAAGATGAAGGTGTGGAGAACTGTCTCAAGTTCAGAGCAGGACAAAATGGGACTCAGCTTTGCAATGTTCCTGAGATGAAAGAAGGAAGAGCGAACAAGAGAACGGACTTGAGAATCCAGGGTGAGAGCCGGGTCAAAGGTCACACTAAGACTCCTGACGGAGGGTTTGGTGTGAGAAGCAAGCTGACCAAGATCTCTCACTTTGGGAACCAGCTTGTCTGGGCACAGATGAGGATCTCAGTCTTATCTTCATTCAGCTGAAGAAAGCTCCCAGCCATCCAGGTTTTGATAGAGTCTAAGCAGGTGTGTAACAGCTGCAGCTTAGACATTTCATGGGGCTTAAAGGAGATGTACAGCTGGGATGTCATCTGCATAAAGATGGTAGGAGATTGCTCTGAAAGAGCTCAGGATGTGCTGAAGAGGAATCAGAGGAAGATAAGTAGAGGCCCCAGTGCAGAACCTTGTGGGACACCATGGGTGAGGGAGGTGGTGGAGGACCTTGGAGATGGCCATAGCGTTTTTAAAGTAAGCAGGGACCTGACCAGAAACCAGAGAAGCATTAATTATAGAGAGCACGCTGGGACCGATGGACTGAAAAGCACTTTTAAACAAAGATGAGGGTAAGATGTGGAGGGGGCATGCAGAGGTCTTCATAGAGTTGGCTAGTTTGGTTAACTCAGGCAAAGAAACAGGAGCAAAGCTATCTAGGATGATGGGCCTGGTTGGAGTCAGGAGAGGCAGAGATAAGGCTGAGGGAGAGATGCTAGATCTAACCTTATTGACTTTGTCCACAAAGAAAGACAGAAAGTTCTCACAGTCTGTAACAGAGTGGATGGAGGTTGTAGGAGAGGCAGGAGAGACGATGCTGCTGATGGTGTTAAACAGCACCTTGGGATTCTCTTTGCTCTGGGACACCAGGTTGGAGAAATAGTCAACCGTTGCATCTCTGACTGCAGAGTTAAAGGAAGTCAGAAGATTCTTTAGATGCAGCAGATGGACATGGAGACGGGTTGTCTTCCACAAGCGCTTGTAACAACAACAAGCTACTGACCATCAACCTCTGTGACGGGTCAAACTGACCTGACATGTGCCTCTGCTTTTACCTGGAGCCGAGATGGCTGCTGAGACACACTCTCCTTCTGCAAGGACGGCAGAGGCTGGGTTCTGATAACCAGTCGTCAAGGACGCAGTGTGGGGAAGGAGGACAGCTGAACTGTTCATCTTATGATTTTAATAAAGAATGAGATCTGTTGATGAATTAATTAATATGATCAACTGCTGAATCAATTTGTGATCAAACTTGTAAATGATGTTTAATGGAGATGATGTGATCACGAATAATACACCACATATTGTTAAACACACAGCAGGCAAGAGCAGAGCTTCTCAAGGGCAAAGACGTCACGATCTGGGAATGCCCCGGGAAGGGGGGGCGTTCTACAAAACTACTGACAAGCGAGCCGAGAGTCAGTTCGTTGAGACTTCACAGGGCCCGTGAATTCCTCTTCGACAACATCAGAACTTTGGCACGCTGCCAGGTTCTGGACACTTGCAAGCAAGCTGAAAACACCAACTGAGTTCCACCGTCAACTGTGGAACGGTTTGCTTAAACTTGAGCCAATCAGAGACTGATTTTGACCAGTGGACTTTAACCTCAAAGCCTCACGGATTGGGAGACCAGCTGGGAGCGACCGTGTTCCTCCATCGACCGGGGTCCGTCCAAGACACCCCCCAGGTGATTTAGGGCACTCATGATCACTTCTTGTTCCAAAGCGACACAGTAGACTAACCCAAAACATCATTTCTGTTTCAGACAGATGAACTAAGCCCTCAGCTAAGCTCTGCTCTCATGCACATTTTAGCTCATTAAACATCAGGGAATTGTTAACTGTGTGAGATTTTAAATTGTGATTTATAAATTAAATTCTTTAAAAATTGTTGAAGGTTGATCTTTATTCAAGCGAGTCTAAATACCTGAGAATAAAAAGTTCTTTAGGTCTTCTGAGAAAAATAAGCGTTGTCCGAATTAATATTCAATCAATATTAATCATTTCCAAAGGTTGTTAAAATAACATTCCTTATTTCACATAAAGGGAGCATTCTCCACTTTAACACGCTCAATTTTTCTGCATTGGCGCTTTAGGCTGCAAAGGCTGTCATTAAATGATAATGATAAATGACCCGCACTTGTACAGCACCTCTCAGAGTAAGGACTCCAAAGCGCTTTACACTACAGTGTATCATTCATCCATTCACACACACATTTACACACTGATGGTGATGAGCTATGATGTAGCCACAGCTGCCCTGGGGCGCACTGACAGAGGCGAGGCTGCCGAGCACAGGCGCCACCGGTCCCTCTGACCTCCACCAGCAGGCAAGGTGGGTTAAGTGTCTTGCCCAAGGACACAACAGCAGCATTCTCTGTCCGGAGCCGGGATCGAACCTGCAACGTTCCGATTACTGGACAACCCGCTCAACCTGTTGAGCTACTGCTGCCCCCAGGAAGTAGGGTTCACTGCAGGAACTGATCTGGTTCTGACAGGACAGATGTTGTCCAGAATGGAAATGCAGTACTTGTTAAACTGAGAAGTTTAGGAATCTGGGTCGTTATCAGAAGAACAGGGTGGATCAATAGCAACAGAAAATTTGCTAGCTGTGCTCTCATTAAGAAAACGAGAACTAACCAGAAGGTGAGCAGGAGGTGGGGAAACTGACAAGTTAAAGATAACGCAATGGGGATCTGAAATATGAACATCCTCAGGACAAACACTACCAGCATGTAGACCCAAAGTAAAAACAAGGTCTAGAGTGTGTCCCTTGGTGTGTGTGGGGCCAGAAACATGCTGGGTAAAGCTGAAGGAGTCAGGAGGCTGGACAAGGTAATGAGAAAGTGGTCTGAGGCATCATCGTAGATGTAGGGCTGGGCAATAAATCGAAAATGTATCACTATCGAAATTTCTGCCTCTTATCGAGATAATTTTTCCCATGTCAATGGATTTGATTAAAAAAAAAGGTGTGTAAGTTGGCAATGTTCATGTCCCTTTAAGAAGCTGTACCACCTTGAGTCACATAAAAATGTGATTCAACGTAATACATGTGACAGCCCCATCTAGTGAACAACTTTTTTTTCTGCACATACCTGTAGTTATCGTCCATTTATCGTTATTGAGGTTCAAATCCTCAATATATCGTGATATTGATTTTAGGCCATATTGCCCAGCCCTATGTGGATGTTAACATCACCAACAATAACCAGTCTGGACAGCTTCAAGGTGGAGGATAGAAAGACACTAAACTCCTTAAGAAAAGAACTGTTTGGACCAGGAGGACGATAAACCATGGCACAGTAACACGGGTCCTTATGCCCCAGAGTGCAAGAGAGTGCAAGCCCTTACCTCTCTTTTTTGCAGAGACAGTCTGGTTTTGGACTTGTGGCGTGGAGGTACATTCTTGCAGGGATGACATGCTGACCTCATGTTCTGACCCCTCTTCTGGCATACTGACATCTGGATCAAGAAATAACTTTATTAAAGTATACAATACACAAAATATGTAATAGCCGTCAGTATAGTGGTTGTTATTTTATAAAATAAGTATATGGAATTTGTGTCTCTTAAAGGGAGAGACGGAATTTCATTCTGTCTCCTATTCTAAATCATTTTCAAGTGACTAGTGAAGTAAAAATATTAATTGTCATGTTAGCCCAGAGATGGCCAACTTCACTCTTTAGGGACCCACATCCTACAGGTCTGAGATGTTTCCCTGCTTCAACACGCCCGATTCAAGTTAAATAGATCAAACAGCTTGTTGCCAAGCTCTGCACAATGAATCAGGTGTGTTGCAGCAGGGAAACATCTAAGACTTGCAGGATTGTGGTCCTCAAGCAATACATTTCCTCATATAGTGTACAGACGAAAGACTGTCCTACGCAGCCCACTAGTGCTGAAGTAGCTGTACGCCTCAAAGATTGGATGTTGGACAACATAAAATGAACTGATTTCTTAGGTGTGTTCTTACTGTGTCGTGGTTCTAATTCCATGCTTTCGTTCTTTTTTAAACACAGAAACTGTTTTGTTTACCTACAGTTTCACCGACGGCAGCCGTCGGCGAAAATGTAGCTACAAAACAGGTAAACAAAACTGTTTCTGTGTTTAAAAAAGAACGAAAGCATGGAATATGAACTGATTTCACCAGACAGCGACCGTTGTTACTGACATTACAAGTAGCGTTATAGTTAAGGTTAGTGTGCACTTACCTACTGTTTATAGGTTGCTCCAATCTCAGGGCACAGACTTCATGGAGAGATTGCATGGCTATTAAGACATTTTTTCTCCTCAATTCTGCACGAGTACACAGTTACAGCGAGTGGAGAACAAGTACATAGTTGAAGAGGAAAAATGTCAAGATGAGGCTGAGCGAGTTTAGTTCATGTCATCTAACCCGATGGCATACAGTATGCGTTTAAGCCAGTGATGAGGAGGAGGGGCGCAGCGGCTACAGACAAAGATGACAGTGAGGAGAGGGTTGGCAACCCTTTGTACTGCAAATGCGGTCACTGCTCAGCCGTGGAGCAACAACCGTGGAGTCCGTTTGCTGCCATGAAGGAGACTTGGATAATGATAGGTATTTTTAAAATGCTCCTCTTTTTAAGTAATAAAATAATAAACTTGTGGATTAAAGGGTTTTTTCTTATCCTCAGTTGTTTTCAGTTAAAGGGCCTTTTTGTCCTCTTCACTTGGTCTTACAGGATGGTTACATTGGAGGTTGCAAGAGTGAGTGGTAACTCGTAGCTTTGGAAACTGAATTCCTGGCTGTCAGTCATAAATTAAGTAGCCAGCAGGTTTTGGCTTTCAACAGAAACTCTGTGACTTGAGAAATCCCCGCCTTAGACATGCGGTGGTTGGCCAAACCTCCTGACAGAGATTTACAGGTCTTTGTTTGGAAGATTGTGGGTGGAATAAAACCATTTGGAGTGCAGGGGACTGACCGAGAGCTGAGGTGTCGAGAGGCCTGGAACAGGCTTCTGGCGTGTTGGCTCTCCGCTGCTTGTTCTGACAGTGTAAAACCCTCTTTTCCTTCTATTATTAATGTTTGTCACGTGTGTCTTAATGTACTGTACGTGCATATAAATATATGTGAGTCCTTTCTTGTAATAAAATCCTTCTTTGAATCTATTTTTGTCCGTGTCTCTCACCCATGTATGAGGTAAACGTGATTTAAATTGTTCTAAATAAAACTAATCTTTTAATCTTCCCCTTGTGCAATCACAATTATTCAGCAGATAAATGTGCTCAGGGAACTGTCCTGCGTCACTTTATCGTGGACCTACCAGATGTTCTATAATGAGAGGTGTTTTGTAGCTATGCTATCCCTGCGTGAAGTCCACGCAGAGAGATTGAAGCAACCTATAAGCAGCAGGTGGATGCACGCTAACCTAAAAGTTAAAGCTGCTTGTAATGTAAGGCAGTACTAACCCAATGTTCAGTTTTAAAACTGGGGTTGTGTTTGACTGTGTTGATTGTGCAGCCTCTGCATCAGACAGGTCTCCTGACAGAGTTGCAGGAGGAGGAGGTGGTTGGGACAAAGGAGGGAGATGGGGTTGTTGATGCTAATTTTTGTCATGCACTGTGTGAAAATGCACCAAAGGTAAGAACTGCATTGAAGCTCACCTGTTGCAGACACTCTTTGGTTTTGACTTTCTGATATGGAGGTACATTCTTGCCTGGATGACATGCTGACCTCATCGTCTGACCCCTTGTCACCTAGCATACAGACATCTGGACATAAATAATTACTTGTAAGAATAAAATACACAAAACAGGTAAAACAGATAATTTAGCATCAATTTAAGAACATTGCATACACATACCTTCAATGTCCTCTGCTAAAGGTCCCTCCATGTGAATGGTCTAAAAAGATAATTGAACAAATATTGGAAAGCTGAACTTGTGGGCAATCTGCAAAAGTATACAACTATAGAATTATTCTCTCATCCGGTCATCATTACTCTTAGGGCAGGAAATTAACTTTTTCATCCACCAGATTCAAAATTTTACTGGCCACTCAATGTTCTTAATGCCGCCTTTACAAGAAAGGATAACCACAGGGTGACTTGCAACAGTGGATATTTCATCAAGGGAAGGAAAAAGCATTTGGGCACAAAATCCTCGATAACTTTAAGTAAATGACGTGTTTTCACCAGCTCCAGACTAGTGAATTTCAACGCAGCAGCAGCGGTGATGTTCGCACGTCCTTTCCTAATAATACTGCCTATCATGTTAACGTCATTAGCTTTATATATACACCCCCTTACTAGCAGGCTCCAGCGACTAAAGTCTATGCTGTGGTGAGATTTTTTCCCACTCTGTTGAAGAACAAGAAGAAAATATCATTTCTATAGCGCCTCTCAAGATAAAAATCATGAGGCGCTTCACAAAAACGAAAACAAAAAATATAAAAAATTGTACAAATATAAAAAAGCACTTAGAAAATGTTTTAAATATATTTAAAATGAGCAAGAATAGGCAATTGCAACTTAAAAGAAAAAATGTTAGGAAAGAGAGAGTGTGACTAGGAAAGAGGGAAATCAGTGGATCCTGAGGAAGGTGGAATAGGTGGGGAGAGCAGAATAAAGAGAGAGAGGTGAAGAAGGTCATACAAAAGCCAGCTTGAACAAGTGAGTCTTCAGCTGCTTTTTAAAGGAGACCACTGAGTCCACTGATCTCAGGCTCAGGGGGAGAGAGTTCCAGAGTCTGGGGGCCACAGCAGCAGATGATCTGTCAAAGCTACAGCAATACTGCACCGAACAAGAAGATGGCTCTGCCTTCACAGGAAGCATAAAGGAGAATAGTTTGGAAAGATTTTTCCAACCAATACAGGTACAACTAATAATTTATCATAGATACACCGACAGTTATGATGCAGGAAGCCATGTGCTATTAGTTGTTTGCCACCACGCGTCCAGTGAAGAGCACAGCGAGGAAGACGTGCTGCTGCCTAGACTCTCCCGGTGTGAAAAGGACCGCTTTGAAGTTTGCGAGTAAACCGTTTCGCTGTCGTTTTGTGCCACTGATGCTTCCAGTGTGAAACTGGGGACAAGTTTTCTGGCGGCAGCATAGGCGTATCACTGCCCCAAATGATCAGTTGCATAACACATTTGAATGCGCTGTACTGCCAACATTACCTGCCAAGTGTGTGGCTTGATGATTGTGACCCCCCAATAAGCCATTTCGGTACTGCGTTGTGCGCAATGCATTCTGGTGTTTTGGACCCTAAACTGACAGAAGCGAACATACATATAGATAGGGAAAGCGGCAAAATTTATTATTTGAACAGTGGAAAGTTGATGAACTGAAAACATATTCGCCTTAGAGGGCTGCCTGTGAAAGAACTAAGTGCACTAGCGTATGCAGCTACAGTGCAGAAACTACTAATTGTTTTGACGAAATAAGTGGCGTAGTTAAGGCTGATTATACCAGCTTTTGACATTTCATGGAGTGACAATCCCAGACCCACAAACGCTATTAGAAAGACTGGGAAGGAAAAATGTTGGCATGTAGAAGCGACCTCAGCTACTTTTCATCCCAGAGCTCATGCATTCAAGATGTGCTGTATCATAATATCGCAGGTATTTTCTTGCTTGTGAAATGTCTGTGTTATGGGTAGCAGTTAGAACCTAGCCTATGAGCTTTTGCCATGCTTTTAAATTCTTACAATTTGTATTCATGTATGGGTTTTTTACTTCTTAAAACCTGTAAGAGTCCGGATAAGGCTGTGATGCCCTGGCCGCCCACTGAATGGGACAAGCATGTATGCCCCCATCCTAACGGGAATGCATCCGTGAAAATAGAAACATGTGACATTGCACGACCAAGAGAGACTCCAAGCATCAAGATGTCGGGGTTCCCCCAGTGCTCCAGATCTCGTTTTACTGAGAGAGGAATGGGCAGCATATGTTGTTTGTGATGCAGCAGGTTATCTTGAGATATCTGAACCAGCATTGGATGCGTGTCATATGTTGCAAACCAAGAGGAACTGCTATATGGCCTGCAGCCATCAAGCCAAGCAGCTTCATCACTGTAAGAGCTGTCACAGTGTGGCGAGGTTGCATGTGGCTGATTACGTGTGTTGAGACTGGGAGAGGTAGGCTCTCATGATGCTGGAGTTCAGCTTTATGCCCAAAATGGTGATCAGCTGTGATGGGATCACAGAACTTTTCTCCCAATTTATGGAGAAACCGAACATCCTAACGTGATTAGATGTTCTGTTAGCGTTCTCATCTGTGATTCCACGTCGGACTCTGAGGGAGCCAGAAGGAGCAGATAATCCAGATAAAAAGAACCATCAAGCCCACCGTGCGTAATGGCTGAAGCAATGTCTCTAGACAACTCTAGAAGGTGCAGGGAGAGAGGGAGTAACTGAACAGGAGTCTGTTGTACTGATATTGGACTCTGTTGAAGGACAAACGCAGGAATTTCCTGTGTTTCGGGACCACTGGAATATGGAAATATGTGTCCCTCAGGTCGATAGAAGTTAACCAGTTGCCTGGACGAACGTAACTCTAAAACTGTCTCATGGTGATCATGCGGAAGCGCTTTTCCGCTATGAAGCGGTAAAGTTGAACAGGAACAGATCGTGGATGAGTCTGACACTTCTGGCCTTTTTTTGTAACAAGGAAATTGCGGGAATAGAACCCCAAATTCACCTCAATTTTTGGACCCCTCGAGATGGCTTCCTTTGACAGGAGCTCCTTCAATTCTGACTGGAGGGTGAAGAAGTGGTCCGATGAAGTCAGTGTCATTTCCACAATCCTTGAGAATGGAGGGGGATGGGACGGAAATTGAATGGTAAATGGCCTGTATATGATATTGTGTCTTCTAGAGTCCTGGAACCCCACAAGATGCTTTACAACACAATCAATCATTCTCACACACATTCACACCCTGGTGGTGATGAGCTACATTGTAGCCACAGCTGCCCAGGGGCACACTGACAGAAGCGAGTCTGCCATACATATGCGCTACCGGTCCCTCCAACGACCACCAGCAGGCATACCATACCATACCATGTTTATTTGTAAAGCACATTTAAAAACAGCAAGACAGCTGTCCAAAGTGCTGTACTGTAGTAAAAAAGAAGGAAACGTAGGGTTACATTATATAAACCCCGGTTCTTTGATAACAGAGTGAGGTGTTTCACTATGGGAATCGCCCTGGCGTGACCAACTACGGAAGATCCAATGACATCACGTCTGTCCCTGACAGACTGGTTGCGCAGTGCCCAGGCTCCGCTCACCCAGTATATACATGGGCAACCAACCCCTCTTACTCATTCGGATGATTTCTTACCATTAATGCAAGAAGGGAATTGTTGGTGAAACACCTCACTGTTATCAAAGAACCGGGGTTTACATAACGTAACCCTATGTTCTTTTTCTAAATTCGTTCGGTGTTTCACTATGCGAGATATGGCCCACTCCCGGATTGCATATCCATCCCGAAGCGAGCTGCAGCAAAAACTCTGCTTAACCACTAAGCAGATGTTGTGCATCCTGCCTCCAGCACTGAATGCGCCAGTGAAGGATGAGACACATCCAGCCTGTAAAACCGCACAAAAGTCAGCGGCGTGGCCCAGCTAGCTACTGCACAAATATCCTGGACTGACACCCCACGAAACAGGGCCCAAGATGTAGCCATGCTCCTTGTAGAATGAGCCCTCACCCCCCAGAGGGGGTTCAGCACCCTTACACCTATATGAAAGGCTGATCGCTTCTACAATCCAGTGTGCCAGTCTCTCGCAAGACACAGGTTTGCCTTTATGGGCCATGGCCCAAGAAACAAACAACTGGTCTGATTTTCTGAGACCAGCAGTCCTGTCCATATAAGCCCTTAAAGCTCGAACAGGGCAGAGACAATGAAGTAAGTAAGTAAGTAAGTAAGTAAAGTTTATTTATAGAGCGCCTTTCACAGATATAAATCACAAAGCGCTGTACAACATGAGTAAAATCAGGGCAAATACCTCTAACCAATAAAAACATCATAAAAACAATAGCAGTGACAATAGTAACCAAAATCAGGAGTAAAAACAAAGTCAAGGTGTGAACAAGAACAAAGCCATCTTTTAGAATATTTAGCGGGGAAAAGCCTGGATGAAAAGGTGAGTTTTAAGATGTTTTTTGAAGACCTCTACAGATTTCAAGAGACGGAGATTTGAAGGCAGACTGTTCCAAAGTCTGGGGGCAATAGACTGAAAGGCCCTGTCCCTTTTGGTTTTTAGTCTGGTTCGAGGAACAGCCAGGAGGTTTTCAGATGTGGATCGGAGGTTCCGTGAAGTGGTGTGTGGGGATAAAAGCTCAGATAGGTAGCTTGGAGCCTGGTTGTTAAGAGCTCTATAGGTCAGCACTAAAACTTTAAACTGAATTCTATATTCTACCGGGAGCCAGTGGAGGGACTGTAAAACTGGGGTGATGTGAGCTCGTCTGCTGGATTTGGTTAGGAGTCTGGCTGCTGCATTTTGGATGGCTTGAAGGCGTGACAGGGAGGTTTTGCTGAGACCAGTAAAAAGAGCGTTGCAGTAGTCTAAGCGTGATGACACAAAGGCATGGATTATTTTTTCCAGATCTGCAGTAGAAACCAGTTTACGGACTTTTGAAATGTTTCTCAGTTGGAAGAAACAAGAGCGGGAGATGGTTTTGACGTGTGAGTCTAAACTTAAAACTGGATCAAAAATAACTCCCAGGTTTCTAATGTTGGCCTTGGCTGAAGGGCAAAAGGAGGAAATTTCCTGCTCGATTTTTGGTTGAAGTTCCGGGGGTGCAGAGATCAGGGTCTCTGTCTTGTTGGCATTTAGAACAAGAAAGTTGCTGGACAGCCAGTTACTGATCTGGGTCAGGCAGAGTACAAGGGTGGCC